GAAGCAACCGGAGGAAACCCACGCTGACACGGGGAGAACATGTCAGAGCACCTGGAGGAAACCCACGCTGACACGGGGAGAACATGTCGAAGCAACCGGAGGAAACCCACGCTGACACGGGGAGAACATGTCAGAGCACCTGGAGGAAACCCACGCTGACACGGGGAAAACATGCAAACTCCACACAGAAGGGCTCCCCCAAATCAGGATTCGAATCCTCCACCCTGGATTTGAACCAGGAAATGTCTTGCTACAAGGTGACATCGCTAACCACTGCACCACTGGCACAGTGGTGAGACTCTTTCAGTAATTCTTAAAAGGGATGTTAAAGTTATCAGAAAAAAATCCTAGCATTTTCTATAGATATGTGATTGGTAGTTAAACAATCTATATCAACAGTTTCTAAGTTTTGCTCTCATGTTTTAATGTTTTAAATTTTCCATGTGCTTGAGATACTTTTGTTTTCTTTCTGTGCCTGTGTGAGGGTCTAGGTTGCTATGCTTAAGTTCACGATGAAGTTACATCAAGTAAAAAACAGTGAATCCCCCTGCTTTGTAGTTTCAGTCATCTTGGTAGCATTACTTGCAAAGCACAGGCCCAGATTTGAGAGATTGTTCAGTATGAATAAATGATCTCATGTCTCGCTAATAGCCATCACCTCTCGCTGAAATGAACCACAGGCAGACTCTCCCTCTTCCATCCTCTCGGTCTTTATAGATTTGCCTCATAATACATTTCTCCCCAGAGAGCCAAGGGCACCTTCAAAGGCACTTCCTGTCCTCTGAGATGTAGAAAGCCTCGGGATGTGGAATTGAGTTAGCAGTCGGAGGGGGGACCACAGCAGGGATTGCAAACTATGTGCAGAGTGCCCAAGGGAAGGAAGTAGAGTGGTCAGGAAAATGACTGCAAAGGGGTAGGAAATTTTTATTGCCGTTGTGATTTATGGATTATAGGTTTTTAATGGTTTGCTGTATACGCCTGCAGATTTTTCTGGGGGAAAGGAATTTGTATCTTACTGCAGGGCTATGGGGACGCAGAAAAAATGACACTTCTATTTTCCTTCCTATAAAGAGGCCAACCACGCCGTCCCCTGGTTTCTCTTATTTGCATTGAAAAGAGCTTATGACACAGTCTTGATGTATTTTAAAATAACAGATATTATGCAACATGTGTGACGAGTTGGATTCAATATGTTGGCTTTGATGTGCAGCAGGGGGTCAGCAGTTAGGTCCTACCATGGGCCAAGATTTTACAGGTATGGTACAAATTCAGACCCACACATTTTTACTATATCTAGTTTTTTATTCATTTACTGTTTCTAATGTAATGTTCTCATTAGCATGTTTGGCTAATAGAGTTACAGCAGCTTATGTTAATTCTCATTTGGC